ATATATATATATATATATATATATATATATATATATATATATATATTCCCAAGAGCTCCAGGTGTGGTGGCTCACACCTGTAATCCCAGCAGCTCGGGAGGCTGAGGCAGGGGGATCCCAATTTCAAAGCCAGCCTCAGCAACTTAGCAAGGCGCTAAGCAACTCGGCAAGAACCTGTCTCAAAATAAGACAGGAAAAGGGCTGGGGGTGTGGCTCAGTGGTTAAGTGCCCTGGGATCAATCCCTGATACCAAAATTAGTCCACAGAGCTGCCTTGGGCACATGGGCGTGATACCACTGAGGCATGGGGGGCTCTGGGGTCAGGCAGATCTGGGTCAAGTGCCAACTGTACCCTTTGGCAATTGGAGACAATGATTATCCTTCTCTGAGCTTCATTAGACCCATTGAAAAACAGGAATAATTATCCAACCTCACTAAGATGGCCCTAGAGCCAACAATTTTTTTGTGTGGGGGGGATTTACTGGGGATTGAACCCAGGGACCCAGGGGTACTTAACCACTGAGGCACATCCCCAGTCATTCATATATATATATATATATATATATATATATATATATATATATATTTTTTTTTTTTTTTTTTTTTTTTTAATTCTAGAGACAGGGTCTCGCTGAGTTGTTCAGGGCCTCTGAGTTGCTGAGGCTGACCTTGAACTCGTGACTCTCCAGCCTCAGCCTCCCGAGCTGCTGGGATTACAGGAATGTGCCAATGCACCTGGCTCCAATGCATCATTTTTTAAAATTAAAAAATATGATCCTCCCGCAAATAAAAAGTGAACATGTGCTGAGATCACAGGCACGGCATCGGCAGGGAGGTGAAGCTGCTTCAAGAAGCAGAGAAGGCAGGGCCGGGGCCCAGTGGTAGAGCGCTGGCCTGGCCCAGGAGGCCCTGGATTCCATCCTCAGCACCGCATGTAAATAAATAAATAAAAGATCCACTGACAACTAAAAAATATATATATATATATAAAAAAGAGAGAATCTGAAATGTTAATAGACAGTGAAAGAAAGAATGCTAAAATAAGATCATGAGACCAGGTGATGTCCCACAGAACAATAAAACAGTCATCTTTGTGGTGACCTTTCCACTGGACAAAGATCATTGGTAACTTAAATAGACAAGTGAACTTCTTCAAGTGTGGGCCCTGATAAAGACGTAAATGATAAGTCAACAAAAGATCTCTTCAGTGCTAGTCAATCCCCAGGGAGCTCAGTAGCCCTAGGGTGGCCCTCGGACAACGCTCCGGCTGACACCAGCCCTTCTTTTGCACTATTTTCAAGTTTGGGACTTATTTTTCTCTTTTATTTTTATTTTAATATATTTTTTAGTTGTAGTTGGACACAGTACCTTTATTTCATTTGTTTTTATGTGGCGCTGAGGATCGAACCCAGTGCCTCACCCATGCTAGGGGAGCACTGGACCACTGAGCCACACCCCCCAGCCCTATTCTATATTTTATTTCAAGACAGGGTCTCACTGAGTTGCTTAGCACCTCACCGTTGCTGAGGCTGGCTTTGAACTCCCGATCCTCCTGCCTCAGCCTCCCTAGGTGCTGGGATCTCAGGCGTGGGCCACTGCACCCAGCCAGGACTAGTTTTTTCTTTACCTGAGAATGCAGTAGTGGAGGGCGAAGGGATTTATAAATTTTAAAGTACCGAATCGTCTTTGCTTAGTTGTTTATACGGGGTTTTTGTCCACTAACTCCAGGACTCTGAGGGAGTCCCACTGTCCAAATGAGGTGGCAGTCACCTAGGAAGCCTCACTGGATATAAAGGGTTTGCAGACATGGTCTCATCTGGATTTCCTCTGGACCCCTCTGGGCCCCTGGGCAGGGCATGGGCGAAGGGATGCTGAGCGTCACGTGGTCTGTGGGCACCTTGTCCGTGGAGTCCTTTCTCACTCTCTGGCTCTCTGGGAGAACCTGGGAAAGTATTTTTCATATGCAACCAGTATTTCCTGGGATCCTGCTTGATGCCAGGCACTGTCCTGGCACTTAGGGTGAAGCAGAAAATAAGACGGACTGGGTCCCTGCCCTCAAAGATTAAGAATCCAGACAGTAGACAGGCAACTAACGAAGATAGGAAATAAATAATTACAGACTGCCATAAGCCACTATAAGGAAAGAGACAGTGATTAACAGGAGGGAGAGCTTCCCAGAGGGTTGCCAGGGAAGCCTCTTTGATGAGGAGACACTGAAGTTGGGATTTGAGGAGCAAGAGGAGAGGGCCAATGGAAAAGTTGGGGGAAAGCCATCCCAGGCAGGACACATCATGTGCAAAGGTCCTGGGACAGAAAAGGCTTCAAGGAACAGAGAAAGCCCACAGTCATTGTTTAGACAGTGGAAGAAGATAAGGTGGGAGAAGATGTCAGGGCCTGTATTGTGGTGGGTGCGGACAGACCACCTGGTAAGAGACCTGGGTTTCATTTTGAATGTAACTGGCAGGATAACAGTATAATGTTTGTGTCAGACACCTCCAATATGGTGACATGGGGAGGTCTCCTGGTTTCTACCTCAGGGTTCCAAGCAGAGATTCTCAAAGTGGGGTGCCTGAACCAGAAGCATGGCCTTGCCTGGTACTTGTTAGAAATGCAAATTGTTGGACCACCCCAGAGCTACCCATCAGATGCTCTAGACCTGGGGCCCAGTCTTAAGGAGACCTGCAGGAATCAATCCACGAGTTAGAAACATGACCCAGAGTCTCCACCTGGTGGTAATTCATGGGCACTACCGCATAGTCAGTGCGTTCCCTGCTAACCCCGGGGGAAATAGGACACTTGCTGATCAAACTATTGCAGACCCCAATCATGCACAGCAGGGCAGCTTTGGAATATGCCCAGCCCCTTCACTCACTCGCAAAAGCACTCAGCATAGCAGGGCTTCCACTCTGAATGACGCCCAAATGCCTTACACAGTCTGGCCTTTCCTAATCCCTCTGTCCTCACTTCCTCCTCTTTCTCTCTTCCTACTAGCCACATTGGCCTCCACACTACTTCCCCTTTTAAAAAATTTTTTGAGGGCTGGGGCTGTAGCACAGTGGCAGAGCGCTTGCCTCGCATGCATGAGGCCCTGGGTTCAATCTTCAGCACGACATGAAAACAAGCAAATAAAATAAAGTCAATCTGTCCATCGACAACTACAAAAGTTATTAAAAATTTTTTTTTTTTTTGATACTGGGGATTGAACCCAGGGGTGCTTTACCACTAAGCCACACCCCCAGCCCTTTAATTTTTTTTTTTTTTTTTTTTTTTTTTGAGACAAGGTCTAGCTAAATTGCTTAGGGCCTCACTAATTTGCTGAGGCTGGCTTTGAGGTTGGGATCCTTCTGCCTCAGCCTCCCGAGTTGCTGGGATGATAGGCATGAGCCCCCCGCTCCTGGTCTGACATTAACTTACACAGTTGATTTTTGTCTTCCTCATGAAACCAGGAGCTCAAATGAGGCAGAGCTGTTAGTCTGTCCCCCCCAACCCCGCACTGTTGTATCCCCAGTACAAACACAGGTGCTCAATAAACGTTAGAGTCTGTAAACAAGTCAGGATGGCGCCTGGAAAATGTTAGAGTCTGTAAACAAGTCTGGATGGTGCCTGGCAAAATGCCAGAGGGAGTGGTTTGTGAAGTAACACCAGCCGGCCATGAAGTGTGGAGATTCCTGATTGGTTGACTGATGTATCTAGTTTATGCTAATTAGATAAGCTGTGTGGAATGTATAAATACCGCTCCTGTCCTGCAATAAAGGGCTCCCACTCCTGCTGTATCAATGTACACAAGTTGTTCGTCACCCCCGGGGTTATTTTGCTGCAGCCGGACTGCGGCAAATAAATATTTATTAAATGAATAAATAGACTCCGTGAGGCAGGCATTAACACCCTTCCTCCACCAAAGGGGAGAATGACGCTTGGCAAAGTGACGTGACTCACTCAGAGTCACCCAGTGCATAGATGGCCGGGATCTAGATTGGAGGTGGGATTTCTGGAAACAAGTGTGAACTGTGTCCATGGTGGCACCTTGAGATTCCTGAGGCTGGGGGCACTTTTCAATCAGGACATTGTGTCTCCAACACTAAAGATCAGCAGTGGCTGAGGGTTCTTAAGAATGTTCCTCATGCTTAGAGGGACAGAGGGCGAAGACAGACATCCTCCTGGGCAGCACCCCTGGCCATGCAGGGTGGTCCCCAGAGACGGGGGTACCCTGGGCATTCAGCAGGAGTCCTGCCTCCACCATGTTCAAGTTTCCCCTTGGTTCACGCAGGTGACAACCCGGTTTTTAAGGATTGGAGCCTCAGACCAATGGTTATTTTCCATGTAAACACAATGTGCAGGAATTTGGTTTCATTTTTGAGGGTTTGGGGGTGTTTCGTTTTGCCTTGTTGGAGACAGGGTCTCGCTATGTTGCCCAGGGTGACTCCCCTGGACCTTCCAATCCTCCTGCCTCAGGATCCCAAGAAGCTGGGATTGCAGGTGTGCATCACCCCATGTTTGGGGTTTTTTTTTTTTTCCCCACTTTTAGTTACAATGCTTTTATTTTATTTTATTTTTTTATGTGGTGCTGAGAATCGAGCCCAGGGCCTCACACATGCTAGGCAAGTGCTTCACGACTGAGCCACCACCCCAGCCCAACAACAGGTTTTGTTTCCAATCTTTAATTGACTTTTATCTTTTAAAGAAGTTTTAGATATACAGAAAAATGGCACAGACACTAGCAGAGCGTTCCCTTAAATCTTCTCTCCCCAATACGCGATTTCTCTTACTGTTGACATCTTGCCTGAGTGTGGCCACTTGATCCACTTGATGAGCCAGCACCTCTGTGCCATTAACTCACGCCCACAGTTTACATCGGGGTTGACTCTTCGGATTGTAAGGTCCTGTGGGTTTTGATGAACTAATATTCCGTATCGACCATTTCAGAATCAGAAGGAAGAAGGTCACTGCCCTAAAAGAGCCCAGTGCTCCCCCTCGTCCTCCCCTCCCTCCCCTCTGCCTGAGCTCTGGCAACCACTGATCTTTTCATTATCTGAAGCACTGCCCTCTCCAGCACGATGTGTCTTGGCTCGGTTTTAGTACACAGTGACTCTGCCAGGACAGCGACCTGGGCACAAATTGGTGTCTTCGTCCATTCGGGTTGCTATAAGAAACTACCTCAGGCTGGGCGCAGTGGCACACGCCTGTCATCCCAGTGGCTCGGGAGGCTGACACAGGAGGATTGCAAGATCAAAGCCAGCCTCAGCAATTTAGTGAGACCCTAAGCAACTCAGTGAGACCCTGTCTCTAAACAAAATAGAAAATAGGGCTGGGATGTGGCTCAGTGGTTGAGTGCCCCTGAGTTCAATCCCTGGTACCCACCCCCCAAATAAGGAAATAAATTACCCAGACAAGGTGGCCTACAAAGTGCAGACACTTATTTCTTGCAGATCTGGAGGCTGGGAGGTCCAAGTATCGGCTTCCAGATTCACAGGTGGCTTCTCTGTGTCCTCACATGGTGGAAGGGGCGGGGAAGCTCTCTGGGGCCTCTTTCATATGAGTATAAATCCCATTCATAAGGTCCCCACCCTTGTCACCAGTCACCTCCCACAGGTGCCCCTCCTAATACCAGCCCCTGGGGGATGCATTTTGACACGTGGATTTGGGAGAGACAGGAAAATTCGGTCAATAGCAGTTGGGAACAAACAAGGCTTGCATGTGGCTCAGACTTTACCTAGAACCGTTCCCGTCTTGGACCACTGCAGGCCCACGGTCACAGTGCTCGGTTTGCCACGGTGGCACTCCAGAGCCACACCCTCTGCACTATTTAGTGCTGTTTTTTACATATGCGCCAGAACACTCGTACATTAATTTATTCTAAACTACTTCCATTTCCTTTTCTCCTGAATCACAATCAAGGCGCTGTTTATGTGGAGGCCATGTGTGTCAGCAGGTCATGTTGCTCACGAATTTCATTTTAGAAAAGCAAAGAAGCATTGCAGCCACCGTTACAGGAAGCACTGGGTCTGTGGGGTTTCAGCCCGCAGTCAGACCGCGTGACCACACAACGGCTGCAGGTGCTCACGGGATCAGTAAGTGACTTGCACGCAGGAGTCAGCGCCACGTGGGGCCAGAACCAAAGACAGCCCCAAGGGGAGGAAGTAACTGGGGGGAAAGTGGAAGGCAGAGGAGATCCCTGATGGGATCCATTCACCAGCCAACGTGAGGCCACCTGCGCCAGTCACCAAGCTACATGCTGGGGACAGCCAGTGGACGTCAGGCTGGCCAGAGGACAAGCTTTGAGCCACTCTGCCCCGACTCAGAGCCCAACTCTATACCCTAGCTGTGCAAGCTTCTATAAGCCACTAAACCTCTCTGAATATCTCTTCCTCCCCACTTCCAGCCTTGAGAATTAAAGCCATTTTTTTCCTGGACACACTGGGGACTCCTTCTCCTCTCTGGCTGAAACTCACCGGTTGATGCCTGCGCTCTGTGCTTGTCCCCCGGCAGTGGCACGTGGCTGGAGGAAAACACCACCATGTGGCCGGGTCTCACTTCATGTACAGGAAGGCTGGCCTCGAGGGGTCTTCAGTGCTGCCTGGCAGTCACCTGAGGCTCCTTTGGTCCCTCTGTTTTCCCCAAGCAATTCCTTCCCATCTTCTCACACCTCCTTCACCTTCTCCGCCGTCCTGCACCCAGATGAAGAGCTGCCTGTTCCTCGGGGGAGCTGCCGCAACCCGAGAGCCTGTCTCCCAGCTCCGCCACACAGCACCCACCCAGCACGTTGCACCCGATCCTCTGCCCTCCCTTCTGTGACCGCGATGAACCACCTGCACTCCAAGGTTGACTTCCCACAACACGAGTACTCTAGGGTCCCTCCTCTCCCCTGGGGACATCTTTCTAGCCACTCTCTCTCTCTCTCTTTTGCGCCATCAATTTTCTAATCTGCTGAATCATTCTCATCAGCACAAAAAGGCACTAATATTTCTAAATTTAAAAAATGACTCTGGGTTTGTGGCTCAGCGGTAGAGCGCTCTCCTAGCGCGCGTGAGACCCTGGGCTCGATCCTCAGCACCACATTAAAAAATAAATTAAAAAATTAAAGGTATTGACAACTACAACTGAAAAAATAAAAAATAAATATTAGAAAATATTAGAAAAAAATTACTCTTGGGCCAGTTGCAGTGGTGCACACCTATAATCCCAGCAGCTCAGGAGGCTGAGGCTGGAGGATCGCAAGTTCAAAGCCAGCCTCAGCAACTCAGCAAGACCCTGTCTCTAAATAAAAAATCAAAAGGGCCAGGGACGTGGCTCCGTGGTTAAGCACCCCTGGGTTCAATCCTCAGTATGAAAACGAGAAGCAGAAAACTTCTCCTGGCCGCACTTTGCTCTCCATGTGCCAGGCCACCCTCCGTCCTGCCACAAAATCCCTCAAAATCTTCTCTGAACTCACTGCCACATTGTCTCAACTCCCAGCCCTTCCATTCTTTGTAGACTTGACTTTGACAAAAGGTCATCCATAGAAAATTTTTGAAATGGTACAAAGAATACTCAAATACCCACGATTTATTGTTTCCCCCTGAACTTGAACTTTCTACAGTAAGGGGCAAATATAATGTCCTATTATCTGTAAAAACCAATGGTTATTTCCTAAAATCAAGGTCATTCCCTTATAGAAACCAAAACCAGGAAGTTTTATATTGATGCAAAACTATTATCTATCTAACCAGTAGACCCTATTCGAATTTCACCAGTTGTCTCATTAACATCTTTTATAACAAGTGGGAGTGATATTTTTTACTGGTGTACAGCCTTACATTAGTTGTTTCCCTTTAGTCTCCTTAAAAGAACTGTCCCTTAGTCTTTGTATTTCATGAGTTCAGTATATCTCTGTGTGTGTGTGTGTGTGTGTGTGTGTTAGTACAGGGATTGAACCCAGGAGTGCTTAACCATTGAGCTACATCCCCAGCCATTTTTTTTTTTAATTTTTAATTTTGAGACAGGGTCTCACTAAGTTACTGAAGCTGGCCTCAAACTCATGATCCTCCTGCCTCAGCCTCCTGAGTCACTAGGATTATAGGTGTGCACCACGGTGCCCAGTGAGCTCAATATGTTTAACGAGCACAGGCCAGTGATTTTGCAGAAACATCCGCCACTTACTGTTGGTCTAATTCTTCCTCATGAGTCACTTAGACATTTTCCACAGAAACACTGACATGATGGCAAGTCCCTCTCAGCGAGCGCCTCATCCCAGGGGACATGCCATGTGGATTTGCCCCACTCTGGGTGGTGTCCACTATGGCCACTTGGGTGCTGTGTGTGCTGGGCTTCTCCGCTGTCAAGTTTCTATTTTAACCCTTGTGACGAGTAAGTGTCTTGGGGAGAGATGCTCTAAGACTCTGCAGACGTCCTGTCCTGTTTCTCATCAAACTTTAATCCCCTCTGCAGCATCCATTAGTGAATCTCTTCTGAAACAATTAGTACCGTGGTGGTTGCCAAGCGGTAATTGTATAACTCCTACTCTTCTGCATTTTGTATTTCACTTTCTATTCTTTAAAAAAGAGTCTATCCTGCCTTTCTCTCCTTTCTTCCATGCTTTTTTATTTTGTCTGCCCTCACTCTTTGTGTGTGTGTGTGTGTGTGTGTGTGTGCAGTACTGGGGATTGAAGCCAGGTTGCTCTACCACGGAGCCACATCCTCAGCCCTTTTTATGTTTTTATTTTGAGACAGGATCTCGATAAGGTGCTGTAGCTTATCGAGATGTAGCAGCAATCCTCCTGCCTCAGCCTCCTGAGTCACTGAAATTACAGATGTGTGTACTGCCCCCACCTCCATTTCTTACTCTCTTATGCTGAGAGCCATAGCCAAGTAGGAATGATGCATGGCATTTTGGGTTGACCCCTGCTCAGGGATTAGGGTGGCTCTGGGTTTAGGGTGGATCCAGCTGGGAATAGGGCGGCTGGAGGCAGTGTATTCGCAGGTAGTGTGAGTAGAGTGTCAGTGAGAGTTCGGGAATAAAGAGTTGCTGTTTGAATCTACAAGGCCTTTGTGGTGGCTCGGTTATTTTGTGCCCAGCCAGACTACGGCACTCTTAATTCAATCGCAATCAGATTTTACTCCCACCAGTCCACACACACCCTTTCCTGTCGAGGTAGCAGTGCATGTACTTTGGTACATCAATTCTCGGTTCTCATCTTCCTCCACCTTTCAGCAGCATCTGACACAGGGGACCTGTCCCTGCTCCTGGAGATGCTTTCTCTACTGGTTTCAGGACACGTGCTGGCTGCTCCTTCTCAGGCGCATTTGCTGCTGCCTTGTCTCCTAATGGTGCTGCCCCAGGGCTGGCCCCTCATCTCTGCCTGGACTCGCGCCCTTGCTGGCCTCACGCAATCTCCTGGCTTTAAAAGCCGTCTCTACGTTGATGACCCTTCATTAGCTGCTCTGGCTGCTGTAGCAACATGCCATAGACCGAGGGACTTAGACATCAGAAATTTATTTTCTCACAGGTCTGGAGAGTTCAAGATCAAGGTGCAGGGCAGGCTCCTAGAGACGCCTCTCTTCTCAGCCTCTGAATAGCTCCCTGCCCCCAAGCTGTCTTCACCAGCCTTTCCCTGGCTTGCACGAGGGCAGACAGTGAGTCCCAGTGGATTAGCACCCCACACCATAACGTCATTGAACTTTCTACCTCCTGTCTCCAAATACAGTCACATTGGGGGCTAAAACCGCAACATACGAATGGGCGGTGGGCATAATCCAGTATGTGACAATGTCCAAAGTCAGGTCTCTGGCCTGGGCCTCTCTCCTGGGCTGTCATACATCTAACTTCTGTCCAGGGCCAGCACCTGGCAGTCTGATGGTCACCTCAAATTTAACAAGTCCCAGGTAGAAGTGCTAAGTCTTCTCCCCGACTCCTGACCTGAAACTCCTGACCTGAAATGTTCCCTTCCTATAGTTCCCATCACTTATCGGCAAATTCCTTCTGCCAGGTCCTCAGGCCAAAAACTTTGGAACAATTCTAAATTCTTTTCTTCTCTCAAATACCTTATGCCCGACCTCTAGCAAATCCTCCTGGCTTTACTTCTGATATAACCCTAGAGTCTAACTTAGGTTAAAACCTTCACCATCCCTTGTCCAGATTACGGCAGTAGCCTCTTTCCTGGTCTCCCTGCTTTTGTCCTGTCCCCATCCATGTATTCTATCTTCAGTCCCTGGATAGATCCTATAAAAATGCAAACAAACAAACGGGCCCCGCCCTGCCCCTGGTCAAAACCCTCCCAGCCACCCAGATCTTTCCATCTCACTCAGGACAGAAGCCAGAAACTCTACAATGGCTACAGGCTGTGCACGAGCCATCCCCTATGTGTCTTGGGGACATTGCCTTCTTCTTGCTCACTTAGCCACCTCCTCTTCAGTCCTTCCTTAAACCCCTCAGGCGTGTCCCACTTCCTGAAGACCCTGTCTTTGCCCATCCTCTGTCCCCCTGGCCTGGGACAATCTTCTCCCACAGACCCCCAGGGCTCCCTGCCTCCCCGTCCCAGGCCTTTGTTCACGCTCCTCCCGCCCAGTGAGGCTTCACTACTGACCCCTGGAAGCTGCCACGAGCACACACCTCCGCCCCATTTCCCCCATGGTGCTCATAAGCGCCTGAGATCCAGGAGGATAGGGGTTTTGTGTGTCCGCAGTTGTGCCCCCACTAATAACAACTCTCATGGAGCGTACTTTTGCTGTGTGCCGGAATATCTTAAAGGGATTTACTGTGTTCATTCATCAATCCTGACGAAAGCACTAAGAGGTGAGAGTAGCATTTAGTTATTGCTATAACCACGTTGCATATCTGCACCCCCCCCCCCCCCCCCCCCCCCCAAAAAAAAAAACAGCTCTGTGACTTGCAGAGGCAAATGTTGATCTCTCCCTGTCCCACCTCTGTCCTTTGGGTTTGGCTCTGCCGGGGTTGGCTCCAACTCAGGTCTCTTCCCTGTGTCTTCTATTCTTCTTGGACAAGCCTATCTAATGCTGGGGGGTAGATAGAAGTCACTGCTTCCTGAAACTGAGACGGAGCATTCTCTCCCTACCTGTTTAGTTTCCTGCCATTTAAAAGAGATGAAATTCAAGAAAAACTACAGCTTATATTTTAATACAGACCACACACTAAAATACAAAACTACAAGACTCTTATCTCAGACCTGCCCACAGCACCTTCGATTGGTACTCTGTTTCAAAAGATATGGTGCCCCAAGGATGGACTCCTTCACGGCAAAGGAGGAGATTCCGTGGACAGCAACTGGAAACACGAGAGGCCTCGTTAGGCTAGGCTAGGACTTAAACATGGCCACTTCCACCTACATTCTGCTGGCCAGAGGGACTCACACGGCCAAGCCTAATATCAATGGGCAGGGAAGTAGCAACCACCGGTGCTTAGGGGCCTCAGTAGGCACCACTAAGGCATCTGATTTGCCTCCACATGTGTAATGCTATTTCTTCCTTCCTTCCTTCCTTTACTTTTCTCCCTCTCCCTCCCTCCCTGTCCCCCCACTCTGTTTTTCTCTCTTTTCGTGGTGGGGATTGAACTTAAGCCTCAAGAATGTAAGGCAGTGCTCCTTCACTAAGCCACATCCCCAACCCCGCTTTCAAATTTCTTTTTAACAGATGAGGAAACTGAGGCTCAGAGAGGTCAAATAACTTCTGCAAGTTTGTACTGCTCGTAAGTAACGGCTGGAATCCAACCAAGCTGGAGTCTCCCTATAAACGCCCCGTTCATCAGGCCAAAGGGTTTGGGCCTTCTCTGCAGGCAACACAATGCCAAGAAGGGAACAGGGTAGGAAGTCAACTTTCTTCCAGTGGCCGCCAGCCCGTGGGATGCACTGGGGAGAGGGGAGGAGCTCACTGGGGAGAGGGGAGGAGCCCCGAGGTAGTCGTGAAAGTTCCGGCCAGAAATTGATAAGGAGTGGAGCTGGGTGGTGCCAAAAGAAAAGAAACAAATAAATAAAAGTAAAAAACAAATAGAAAACGACAGAGACAAGGGACAAGGTGAAGGACATTTTAAAAACACTTTTATCTTCATGGAGTGTTAAAATAAAAAGTCATGTTTGCTATAAAAAATTCAAGCAATGCAAATGGATGCGTTGAAAGAAAAAGTTCCCTCCTCTTCCCCCTCTTCAAAGATAAGCTCCATCAACAGTTTGTGGTAAATTCTTCCTGAATCTTATCTAAAACTCTAGAACACAGATACATCGACTCATTTCTTTTTTCTTTTTTTAATATTTATTTTTTAGTTGGACACATCTTTATTTTTATTCATTTTTATGTGGTGCTGAGGATCAATCCCAGGGCCTTGCATATGCTAGGCAAGAGCTCTACCGCTGAGCCCCAGCCCCAGCCCTCTACTCATTTCTTAATGTGTTTCAACCAACCAAACTACTGTCTTGTTTCTTGCTTTTGGTTATGCCACAGTGTGTCCGAGACATCTTTCCATGGCAGGACCTACTGCTGTCCTCATCTCTATTTTTTATTTTTGGTACTGGGGATTGAACTCAGGGGCACTTAACCACTGAGCCACTTCCTCAGCCCTTTTTTGTATTTTATTTAGAGACAGGTCTTGCTGAGTTGCTGAAGGCCTTGCTAAGTCGCTGAGCCTGGCTTTGAACTTGAAATCCTCCTGCCTCAGTCTCCTGAGTCCCTGGGATTACAGTCATGGATCAGGGCACCTGGTTTCTTACTCTTTTTAAAGGCTTTGTCACTTGCTAACTGTATGACTTTGAGAAAGTCATTTAAACTCTCTTAAGACTTGGTATGCTTAATCTTTAAAATGGGGATAAAATGTACTTACTTTAACAGGGCTGTTGTGAGGATTAAATATGTTAATACATTGAAGGTATCTTATACAGTGGCTGACACACATTAACTGCTCAAAAACATTAGCCTGCTGGGGACAGTAATGCATACCTGTAATCCCAGCGGCTCGGGAGGCTGAGGCAGGAGGATCACTAGTTCAAAGCCAGCCTAAGCAAAAATCAAGGCACTAAGCAACTTAATAAGACCCTGTCTCTAAATAAAATACAAAAGGGGCTGGGGATGTGGTTCAGTGGTTGAGTGCCCCTGAGTTCGATCCTCGATACCAAAAAATATATACATATTTTTTTGTATATATGAGCTCTCCTTGCTGGGAATAGCTCATATGTTTAGCTGTACCATGATTTACATAACCAGTTCCATAACTATGATTACTTAATGTGAGATAATGTTTACAAATATGGCCACAAAAATTCCATCCTTTCTGGTACATGTGACTCTGTGAGATGACTTTGATGTTTTCTTCATCAAGAGATATTATCTCTTTCTAGTCTTCTTGAATCTGAGCTGGCCAGTCTCCTGTGACTGGCTTTGATCAATAAAATGCAGTAAAGGTGATGCTGGAGCACTTGTAAGCCTGTGTCTTGAGAGGCCTTGCTGCTTTTCTCCTTTTCCTTTTGGAGTCCATCGTGTAAGGAAGCTCAAGCTGGTTGACTGAAGAAGCCACCTGGAGGAGAGCCAAGGCGCTCCAGCCGCCAGCCCTAGCTGTACTTGTCAACAAGGCCACACAGGACAGGTCAGGTTACTGACCTGCCACCTAACTGCGAATGCAGGAACAACCTCCTCCAGATGTGTAGAACAGAAAAGAGCCTTCCTGGCCAACGTGTCCAAGCTGCAAATGCACACAAACACAATAAATGGTTGTCACTGGAAGCCACTTTGTGGAGTGACCTGTTAAACAGCAACAGAACGCTGATACACTTAGGTTGTTAGTGCAGTGATTGAGACTCTAATGGCCCAGGTTGGAATGCAGGCTCCATCTCTGCTATGTGACCATGGGCATGGCCTGTAGCGTTGCTAAACCTGTTTACTCACTGGTACCATAGGATGCTTTGGGTTCCAATCTCATCAAATTGCTGTGAGGATTCAGTGAGATAAAGACTGGGTGTGTGTGTGGTACAGGGCCAGTCCTCCCAACGTCTTCACAACTGCTGCTGCAGTTATTGTTGTTTAAGGAAGACTAACCTGGAGGGTCAGGGAGAGTGAGTGTTAAGGGTAAGTATTCAATCCATGAGGTGGACACTGGGGACTGAGAGCCTCTTGGGACCAGAAACCCATGCTAGAGTAGTCTAGGAAGTGGCAGCAGTTGGGCAGCAACTGTGTTCTGCGTGAGTATGAAGGGATGTACACATATGTACAGGTGAGTTCTCTGAATGAGGTCATGGGTTAAGGTCAGAACGAGGAAGAAGAATGGACGCTGTAAGGGAACTTGAGACTACTGGAAAGGCATGAGGGTTAAGCTGAGGGAAGACTTCACTCAGATGAAAGCCCAGCTTCCTGACCATGACCTGAATGCCCTGGCCACCTCTCCTTCATATTCCCTATCCTTCTCCTTACTTACAGTGCTTCAGTCACCATGGCCCCCTTCAAACTTAGCAAGCTCTCTCCTACCTTGGGACTTTTATACTTATTATTCGCTTCCCCAAGAGAGCCCCTGAGCCACTCAAGCAAGAGTACTCTATTTCAGATGACTTCTCTGTTTCCTTCACCCTGCGTACAGCTATCTGAAGCTTTTAGTCTATTTCACAGCTACTTACTTTCTTCCTTCCTTGCATTTATTGCTACCTGAAATTATTGTGTTGATTCATCTGTTTACCTGTGCACTATTTCTCACTTTAGCAGGTGAGGAACTGGTATCTGTCTTGCTCATACCACATCTCTAGCACCTAGCTCCTAGCACAGTGTCTGGCAAGCAATCAACGACTGTGAGTTAAACAAACATGAATAAAAGTGGGGAAAAGGAAGCCATACTCCAAGAGTTAAGAGGATGGGCAGTCATTTCCTGGAAGAGGGTTTCACAGAAAACGTGGAATCACCTTGTATAACGTCTTCATTCCACAGGAAGGGAAACTGAGGCTCAGGGAAGAGGGATGGCTGGCTTTCAGGCCCCTAGAGAACAAATTTCTACAGAAACTGAGGCATTTGGGATTAAATGTCACAGACCTGAGTGGTGGATGAGGTCCAGAAAAGGTCAAGGCCACCCCTCTGAGGTCATCACTGTAGGTCTGTAAGCCACCACCATTCTCATTCTGTCTCTTTGAGATCAGAGGTGCCAGTCAGCTGAAAATCTGAAAGGCGAGCTGGGGAGGGTAGAGAGGCCCATTCCCGGAACAGGCATTTTATATTCTGAGGTAGCTGGGGATAATGGCTCTTACAGAAATAACCCAGCCTCTTCGCCCTCCTTCCAGCTCTCACACCTCTGCCCTCCCAAAGGTGAGGCTAACACTTGAATTCCTCTCAGCAACACTTACAGCTTTCACAGGGCCTGCAGGGAACAGGGTGATCATCAGAACCATCCCTGTCCACTGGGGGCTCACAATCTGTTGGAGGGAGCAGAGTAGGAACTTCAAGCTGCCAAGTGATGGTGCTTGGGTTTGGGGGAGCTCACGAGAGAGATCCCCAGAGGAAAAGCGCCCTGAAATAGATGAACATACAAAAATTACCCAGTCCATGAGGTAAGAATAACAGAAGTAACTGCCAGTGGAAAGGGTGGGAAGCAACATAGCCAAGTTCGAGGAACTGTTTGCAGTTTCAGTGAGTGGAAGCATGAGGGATTTGAGAGGGGGGCCGCTGAAGAGGAGAAAAGAAAGGAGTTTGAGCAAATGTGGAGGGTCTTGAATGTCAAGCAAGAGTTCGGTGTAGGTGTACAGAGAGAGCCACCAGAAATTTTTGACCAATGGACCAAGATCAGGTTTGCATAGTAGAAAGTGCCCTGTTTTAGAAAGGTGGCCAGGGCCTGAGAATGCGGGTAGGGTGCGGTTGGGGGGCAGATGGAAAGGTAGAACACCCTATGGGATTCTGGATGGGCAGCTCGAGGTAGGATCCCTATTGGAGGAATGAATTGAGCCTGGGTCTCTACAGGGCTACTATACTCTACCGGCCTCCTGCGCCATGCCCATCCTGACACCCAACTTTCGCCCTTCGTTTCAAACTCCAAGTCGGAGCAGAAAAAAAAGCTCTGCTGGAACCCTAATCCTAGACGTGAGGTCGGAGCAGGAGACTTCAGCTCCCAGGATGCTTCGTTCTCCAGCTCTGCAGATCGCGCAGGCTTCTTTTCCAGAAAGGAGGGGCGACTCGTAGGCTGGTGGGACTAGCCGGCTGGGCAAAGTGCACGAAACCTGGGGACCGCCATCTTCACTGGGAACAGACCAATCGCACACGGAGTGGGAAGTTCGTGCTCCTCTCTCTCGTCATTTAGTATGGATACTGAAATAAAATGCGTCTAGTCATTGGAAGCCTCGTTATTATGAGTTACACCGAGAATTCATCCCATTTTGCGCCTCAGTCTGGAACGGCACCCCCAGGAACACAATAGGACAGCCCAGCATGGCCGCACTCAGCCGGATTCCATTGAGGGCGGAGTCGGAAGCGGTCCCGCCCCGCCTCCCAGCAGGAGGGGGCTTCCGCTTCCGGCAGCGGAGGCTGCAGCCTCGCTCTGGTCCCTGCGGCTGGCGGCCGAGCCGTGTGTCTCCTCCTCCGCCGCCGCCATATTGTCTGTGTGAGGAGAGGGGAGAGCGGCCGCTCCCGCTGCCGCTTCCACCACAGGTACCGCGGGAGCCACCAGGCGAGGTCGCTGGGGGTTGGGGGTGGGCCCAGGATGGGGCAGCGGGGCGCGGCCGCCTCCCACGCTTCCAGCTGACTCCCGAGTAGCCCCGTCGCCTTCCCCTGCCCCCCCTCCACACACACACCAGCCGAGGCCCCTGCAGTCTATAGGGGAGGCCCGGGGCCACCCCCAGGGCTGGAAAGCGAGGCTTGGGCTCAGAGGCGGATGTGAGGGTGGGAAATCGTTGTCGGACTCCAGTTTTTTGCAAGAGAGGGGTGCTGGACTGGGCGGAGGCTAGGGGGCAACTTGGAGGTGGGGTCGCGGGGGGGAAGGGAGCTTGAGGGGTGGGGCCACAGGGGGATGGTGGGGGAGGGTGTCGAGGGAGTGGTGCCTGCTGGGTAGGGTGGCGTAAAACCTCCGGGGAGAGGGGCAGCTGGAGTTAGGGCCTTCCTAGGGTCCCTCTGGGTGGAGCTGAGCTTCCCACCTGCAAACTGGGTGCGAGGTGGAAGGGTCCCTGGGCGGGCTTGCTGGGGAGAAAGGGAGACGGAGCCGTGAAGTGGAGCAGAACGGGTGGAGTTGGGGTTAAGGGCTACTTGCCAGCCTGGGGGGAAATCAGAGTTATGTAGAACGAAGGGTTGGCTAAGAGTTACCTGTGTTGGTGACCTTTTGAGTCAGTAGGACTTTTAAATTTTGTTTCTTGTTTATTGCAGTGTTGGACCATATCTAGGCTAGGCAGGTGATGGGTGGAGCTTCTGTAGTTTGTTTTGGGGAAGCAAAGTCAAGAGTCAGGGGAATTGCTTTGTGGCTTTTGCTTTTGTGGCAAGGGAAAAGGTTCTGAAAAGGAGGTGACAAGTTATTTGGGAAGACTTGATTACCTTTTAAGTGCTAAATTGTATGAGAAGGGAACTTGGGGGGAGGAAATGAAAATAAAATTAGGAAGGGAAGATTTTTTTTTCCCCCAAGATCTGAAGGCCTCATTCCATTTAAGGAGTGCAGTATAGGCCAGTGCTTAAGAACTAGACTTCTAGTTTCCAAATATCAGGGCCTCTGTAAGCCTCAGTTTTCCTGTCTGTGAAATGTGGATGATACATCCTAGCTTAAATTTATGGCAAGGAAATAAATTAGATAATTTGTATCAAGTGCTTACCACAGTGCCTGGAAGGCAATAAGAACTCAACAGTTCTTACTGGACACTGTTATTAAAGGGCGGACCTGGTATATTTGGGGTGTCTCCTGTCTAGATAAAGTTTATTCAGAAATCTGACTTCAGAAACTATCTTTGTAGTTACTGTGAATCAGTTGACCTAACTGGCTTCATAGACTTGGGGCTGAAGTTCCCGGACCAATACTGGTTCTTTTCCATATCCTTTGGAAAAGTTCACCTGCTTAAGTCTTACCAGAGCAGGTTTGTCCTTCTATGACTTAGAGATATTTGACTTTCATTTGTTATTGGAGGAGGGTATGTGATTTGAAGAAAGAAGATTGGATGTTTATTTAGATTGGTTTTATCATTTGGTTACAGAGTTCAGTTACCTCATGACAACTTTTCTTTAAAAGCTAGAACAACAGGGCTGGGGATATGGCTCAAGTGGTAGCACGCTCGCCTGGCATGCATGAGACACTGGGTTCAATCCTCAGTGCCACATAAAAACAAAATAAAGATATTGTGTCCACCTAAAGCTAAAAATAAATATTTGGAAAAAAAAAACTAGAACAACAAAGCACATATGCCTAATTAATTAATTAATTATTTTTTTAATGGAGAACAAGAAAAGCAGAGTACATATTTAAGGGGGAACATGGGTCAGTTTCTGAATTATTGTGGGATTGCCATGTTGTTCGAGGATGAAACAGGTGCAACTTCTTTTCCACAAGGTGCTTTTAGTTTTCCTGTTGCTTACACGCACGCACACACACAAACACACTCTTCCAGGATGAGACTTCGCTTTTATTTAAATATCTTTAAATGTATACCTTTACATCACATATGCTTAAAAGGGTATTTTGTTTTGTGGTGCTGGGGTTCAAATCCTGGGCTTCATTCATGCTAGACAAATGTACTGCCACTGAACCATATCCCCAGCCCTGAGATTTTCTTTAGAAAGTGAGTTTAAAGACTTACATCGGGTTTCGGTTTATAGTTGGCAGAAATGACACCCTCACCCTGCACGATGTCCATACTTTAGTCCCCAGAATCTGTAATTAAGTTATGTTACAAGGCAGAAAGGACTTTGAAAATGTAACTAAAGAATCTTAATAGGACCTCACAGTGGTGGCACACACCTGTAGTACCAACTACTGTGCAGCCTGAGTCAAGTGGATTGCAAGTTCAAGATCAGCCTGGGCAACTTTGTGAGGCCCTGTATCAAAATTTTTAAAAAGTGGGATTAGGCCTGAGATTGTAACTCAGTGGTAGAGCACTTGTCTGGCATGTGTGAAGAGGTTCACTCCCCAGTACTGCAAAAATAAACAAATAAGAATCTTAAAATAGGGATATTATTCTGGATTTTCTGGGTAGGCCCTGTCTAATCACATGAATCCTTTAAGGCTCAAAGAACTTTCTCCAGCTGGATCAGACAAACATAAGGGAAATCCAGAAATTTAAAGCATGAGAGGAACTGTATTTGCTATTGTTAGATAGAGTCACATGGAAAGCATAAGAAGGAATGTGGGCAGCCTCTAGTATCAGCCAGTGAGGAAATGGAAACCTCAGTCCTACAACCCTGGGAACTGAATTCGGCCAACAACCTAATGAAGTGAGAAGTGTATTCTTCCCCAGAGTTTCCAGCAAGGAACAGCTTTGCACACACCTTGATTTTGGCCTCAGAACTCTAAGCAAAAGATCTAGAAAAACCTACCCAATTTACAACCTGCAAAATATGTGAATTAATAAAATTGTGAGATTTTAAATCACTACCTTTGGGATAATTTGTTATAAAAATAATGGCACACTAGTATAGATTTTTGTTATTGGGAATGGGGTACTATTACCTAAAAGTGAAGTTGATTGTGGGTGAAGTCTGGAAGAATTTTGAGGATCATGGTAGAAAAGACTTAGAACAGACTGTTGGTAGTAATTTGAATGTTAATGACTGCTGGTGAGGGCTCAGATAGAAGTGAGGTACCTGTTGTTGGAAACTGGCAGAAAGGCGGTCCTTTGTATTTACAGAGTGGCAAATAAGCTTAGTAAAATTGTATCCTGTGGTTATACGGAAGATATAATTTGTTAGAAATAAACCAGATATATAGCTGAGAAGATTGTCAAGCAGAATATTGAAGGTGCAGGTTTATTTGTGGATGTCTAAGAGAGTAAACCTTGTGAAATTCATGTAAAGCCCCCTAGATTCTTGATAATTTTATGCCAGCAGAAACAATGCTGTCTTCAATCAAAAGAGATGGAAATTAAATAGGATTGGTAGACCCCTCCCAAATTCTGACAGGAAGAAAGTGGAGAAAACTATTCACATACTTGCACGTGAATGTGCTGCTTTTTCATAAAAAAAGAAGGGTGACTCAGAGGTGGAACCAGGAGCCCAGAGGGGCGGAGCTAAAAGGCTCAGAGGATTTTTCCCAGGATATAAAATAGAATTAATTTTAAAATGACTTTGCCAGTTTTTTTTAATGCTTTATTGTAGATGGACACAATACCTGTATTTTTATTTATTTTTATGTGGTGCTGAGGATTGAACCCAATGCCTTACATGTGCAAGGCAAGTGCTCCACCATTGAGCTACAGCCCAGCTCTGAAAATGACTTTGAATGTGTGGCTCTCTTTCCCCTTAAATTTTCTTCAGTTGAACTAGAATGCCTGTGAGGTTATTCTATACCTGTCTCATTATAGTATGTTGGAAATAGATAACCTTTAAAAAATAATGGCCCAGGTATTGTGCTTAATTTTATTATATGCAGAATGTCCTATACCTGAATTAAAGGATGAGAATTGGGACTGTCTGAATTGATAAGCTTTAGATGAGATTTTGGGACTTTGAGTTGATGCTGTAGTGATATGAGACCTTTGGGAAGCTTGGGATGGGATGAATGTATTGCATTTGGGAGAGATTTGAATCTTTGGATGTCAGAGGGTAGATGGTGGTAGGCATTATGCCTCCACACCAACTCCCATCCCTTTGTTTTAATCTCTGGAATCTGAGCATGTTATGTAGCAGAAGGAACTTTATGGGACCTTTAAGCTTAAGGATCATAAAATTGGAAGATTATCTTGGATTTTCTTAGTGGGTCTAGTCTAATCACATGAGCTCTTAAAAGCAGATCACTTTTTCTAGCTGGAGTCAGAGAAATAGACAGAAGTTAGAAATTTGAAGCGTGAGGAAGACTCAACCTGCCCTTGTTGGAGGGGGCTACATGAAAAGTATACAAAATGCAGCAGTCTCTAGTAGCAAAGGTCAGTCCCATTTGACAGCCGCAGAGAAATGGGGACCTCAGTCCTTCAACCACAAGGAAGTAAATTCAGCCAACAACCTGAATGAGCAGGACAGAGTGTCCAATGATGACTGTAACTGGTGAAAACCCTGGTTTGGGGGCTTTCAGAACCCTAAACAGAGGACCCACCTAAGCCCACCTAACTCTGGCTCTAGAAACTGAGATAATAAATTTGCGATGTTTTGTTTGTGGTAATTAGTTACAGCAACAATAGAAAACTAATACAGGGCCAGGCATGGTGTGCATACCTGTAATCCCAGCGATTCTGAAAGCTGAAGACAACAAATTGAAGGTAGCTTCAGCAATTTAGCAATATCCTGTCTCAAAAAGATCTAGGGATGTAATTCAGTGATAGACTGTCCTAGGGTTCAGTCTAGGGTTCAGTCTCTGCTACCACCAAAAAGGGTAAAAAAGCTAATGCAGGGTTTTGTGGGTTTTATTTTAGAATTTTAGAATCCAGAGCACTTTGGTCTGAAAGTCTTCACAGAGTATAATGCCAGCAGTGCATGAGGCTGAGGCAGGAGTATCCCGAGTTAAACACCAGCCTCAGCAACTTAGCATG